GTCAGTCCCCTCAAACATTTCTTACAAATCCTTCAAAACTTAGAATTTGCCTGTCCAAAAATCTTCCTGTGATCACAGAAAGTTTGATTGTCTAAACAAGCCTTAAGCCCATTAACTCATCGATGCCAAAGAGCCTCCTCTAGACAAATAATAGGGTACAGTTCTCAGAACGAATGTTCCGAGAATACGCGCTATTTTTATTGAAACCGAAAAGGTTTGCATTTTCAACGTGAGGTCAAGTGAACGAAAACTCCCAGGTCAGGCTATCAAAGTCCTCCCTCCAACACGAAGGGCTACCCCACACCTTCTTCAACCAGATAAAACACTCCACGTGTGTTCAACCATAACATAACCACACAACATTACATCCTACCTGTACCAAGACATGCGGGTTACCGATAACGATCATCAAAGCCTGGGCCCTCGTAATTGCAACATTGAATCTCTTGGGATTGCTGAGGAAACCAATGTTATGAGTGTAGTCGAATCCAATTAGGTTTTCGCGTGATCGAACCTATAGCAAGACAATAAAAATGGACGATAAGAAGCTGTTTACATCACAGAATGGTCTTGACGCCGCAGGGCAGGAAAAATAATTTCCTGCAGACCAACGGAGTATTTTTGTGCTAAATCTGCATGTGCATAAACATATACTGTAGTGTTCTAGCTGACCATGGTTTTAAATTCAAGGAATGTCTGTCAACCCGCAGTAATTGGCTATTCGAGCCCGCAGTAATTGGTTATTCGCTGTTGCGGTCACCCATCCGTGGTCATGTACTGTGTTTCATTATGTACGTTAAATGAGTTTGTTTTTGTCCTGTTATGCAATGTACTGTTTCATCGGCAAAGTTTATAAATTAAATTAACCATATGTTGTTGCGCCCATAGTGGGACATGGCTGTTAAAGTTTCCTTCAAATTTTCAATAGCAAATCTTCATTCAAAACGAATTTCCTGCAGCTGTTTAACATTTCCTGCGAGCAGTCTTGCCTATGTTTTCCACCCCTGCTTGACGGATTGAAATTAGTCACTATTACTTACAGTAGAAATAATAATGACCAGTCTCTCTTGACCTTGGAATTCTTCCACTGAACCGACTTTAATTTCACTCATGCCCAGCCTATCCAACAACAACCGAATTTTCTCAACCTGAAAGAATGATCGAAGAAAGAACAGTTTAGAACTGATGGTCGGTTAGTTTAGCTTAGGTTTCCTCCTGAAGTTTCACTGGATCAATAAACGATGACTCGTGACAGAGGTTCGGCTTACGGCAGAATAAAAAATGCTTTGGAGGTCAGAAGAAAGAGAAAAGAGAGAATTAGAGAGAAGAGAGAATAAGAGAGAAGAGAGAATAAGAGAGAAGAGAAGAGAGAGAAGAGAGAATAAGAGAGAATAAGAGAGAAGAGAGAATAAGAGAGAAGAGGGAAGAGAGAGAAGAGCGAGAAGAGAGAGAAGAGCGAGAAGAGAGAGAAGAGAGAATAAGAGAGAATAAGAGAGAAGAGAGAAAAGAGAGAATAAGAGAGGAGAGAGAATAAGAGAGAGAGAGAAGAGAAGATGCATGTGTAGGGGCCCTGCCCTTAGTTATATGATTACGCAAGAATCACGCGTGGGACACTCGCGGAACAATATAAGTATAAGCAGTTGCTTCGAGCACATGTAAAACGAGTGTTATATATAGTTCACATTTTATTAGTAATGAAATACATAGAGAATAATACATGGGTACGCGGAAATACCAGATTTATTTCGAGTGTTGAACATGATATCTCACGAGTGAGCGCAGCGAACGAGTGAGATATCATGTTCAACACGAGAAATAAATCTGATATTTCCAAGCACCCATGTATTTTTCTGTTTATTATATAAACAAAATTCAGTGAAAAACAATAAAACGTCCGTGGCAATGCGTTTTACAACAAATGATATTTTCACACGTAAAAATATCGTATTTTTTACGTGTGTTCAAATACGATTTTTCTCAGTGGCCAAAAACTCTATATAACACTTATGTTTATATAATAAATATCTTTTGCAATCGCTATGGTCCACACGTGAGGGGAAACAGGAGTAACACATGAAATGCAATGTTTCCAAATACATTTACCTGTTTCCTATACGGAGTGATGATACCGATATCATTAAGTTTTACGGGATGTTTCTCGAACTTTCGTAATTCGTGGACATATCTTATAACTTGTACAGCTTCGACTGCATTGAACCATGATGGACTGTTGCCTTCGCGTAAATCTTCTCCCTAAATAGATATACAATAAAAATATACAATATCTAAACATAAATCCCTAACTGACTCTTCCACCGTAGCTGTGTTCCATGATCTGACATGAGTCATTTTAAGGTGGCTGCCATAGGCGCCCTAGAAAGCCTTCGACAGTTCGACTCAATCAGGTTGACCTTCGCAATTCAGCTTACTATATGTAGTTCTCAGCTGCTGTAAGTAAGGATAATTAGCACATATATTCTTCAAATGAGTTTTGAAAATACATTTTAAGAAATTGTGGCAAATACTTAGTACGCATCTGATTAGTTGATCAGCTATACCAAACGCATCTGATTGGTTAATCAGTTATACCAAACGCATCTGATTGGTTAATCAGCTATACCAAACGCATCTGATTGGTTAATCAGCTATACCAAACGCATCTGATTGGTTAATCAGCTATACCAAACGCATCTGATTGGTTAATCAGCTATACCAAACGCATCTGATTGGTTAATCACCTATACCAAACGCATCTGATTGGTTAATCAGTTATACCAAACGCATCTGATTGGTTAATCAGCTATACCAAACGCATCTGATTGGTTAATCAGCTATACCAAACGCATCTGATTGGTTAATCAGTTATACCAAACGCATCAGATTGGTTAATGGTCCCTTAATGGTAGTGGAAGTCAAATCTAAACCTCACTATAATTACCTTAACTCCATGAAAAAGGACTGGAAAACCATCTTTATTCGGTAGTACATCCCATTCACACAGACAATTCTTGACATTCTCATCAGCACACGGCACCATTTCAGCATGGTAAAACAGCCTCGAAGGTAACTCCAGTAGTGCCTCATGAGAACGATAATTATTGATAAGCTTGGTCACAGCCAGAGGATCATAGCAGCCATGATTAGAGAACTTCGTCTCGTCTCGTAGGTATGGTGTGCGGGTCATGAGGCGTTCTAACAGTGAGATGTTAAGACCGTAGGTTTGACAGATTGGTGAACGAAGTACTGCGCCAAGTTGGTACGGGTCACCGCCAAGTATTATCTAAAGAAAAATGAAATCAATTTAACAGAACCTTATGTGTCCATTCCTAGGAGCTACAAAAGGTGTCATATGTTGACAAACTAATTGCCCCCCAATATCTCGTGAAGTGTCCGCCATTGGACTTAAAATATCGCTTGGTCAAGGATATTGTCTGACCCACTCATGAAATTGCCCTACGTAGAGAAGAAACCACCGAACATTCAGTCCGACTCAAGTGAAACTGGGGGGTTATTGTTTGTCCGAGTGTATTGATGTCCCACCGAATTGCTTTTTCCGAAGTAAATCAAAATGTACCCTAGTGCAGGACTAGACTCTAAGAGGCTCGTATGTTGAATGGAGAATCAGAGTAATATGAACCGGAAATGTTGTTTTATATAATGCAATCGAGCGCAGGGTGGCTAGCAAAATGGTGATGTGGAAAACGGGCTTAAGTTGTCGAAGTCTTATTGCTGTTATTGGCAAGCAAGTTAATTTTGGCTTGGAAATAAGTGTGAATGACACAAATTCTTTAGTATCTTCACATGATTTACTGTTCAGAATTAATACATTGTACTGATATTAATTTGTGGCATTCAAACTCAAAATCATCGGACATTTTGCCAGATGGCCCTGTAAAAGATATTTTAAGGCCTGTGCAACTCTGTCTTGTCCTACCTGTCCTTCAGTCCCAGCCAGAAAAGAAATGGGGACTAAACTCTCAGGTTCTGTGGCTTGTCCAGCCTAAACGAAAAATCAATAAAATATATTTTCAAAATATTAACTCAACCAAAGTGATTTCTTACCTTTGGTTAGCTTTACTTAAAGTGTGACTAACCCCAAATATAATTTTTGGTATGTGTAATACTTGGGTCACTCTGAGAAGAAATGTAACATATCTTTATAGTAAAAAACCTCATCTTGATCAACTTTTTCACTGTCAAAGTTTCCGGATATGATGTCATTAGGTGAATTTTCTGTACAAAAAAAAACAAAGGAAAACTAATTTGCAATTCATCTAATGACATCATATCCGTAAATTTTGACAGTGAAAAAGTTGATCAAGATGGGATTTTTTATTATAAAGATATATTACATTTCCTCTTCGAATGACCCAAATTTGATATTTTTGGTTAGTCACACTGTGAATACTGATTCTATTATTAAGGCCCATTTCCACTAAAGAAAATTTCCACGGACAGAAAATTTTCCGAAAATATCAAATTTTCAATAAAATTTTTTTCCAAAGGAAAATTCGCGTCGACCAATCACATTTTACAAAATTTTCTTTCTACGAAAATTTTTCCCAAGTGGAAATGGGCCTTTCTGACGCCATCATAAGACATTTAAATGGACAGCCATCCAACAAACCTCATCAATGATGACATGTGTAAAATGTCCTGGGGCGAGCCCTAGTGTATGCAGCTGACCAGCAGTAGTGCAGGTGCAGATCACGACGCGATAATGAGCAGCGACATCCAGTTTCTCGATATTCGTGCTGTAGTTCTCAATGTCTTCAGGGATATTTTGTTGACGTTGAAAGGCATTCAGTCTAACCATGTCACCTTCTGTGATACCACCACTGTGGTGAAGACGTTCTGTCTGAAAATAAGGAAAACAAGCCTATCTTTAAAACCTAGTCCAGTGGACACAATGGTCAAACGTAAAGCGCATGCGAAAATGGCGGGGAAAATGTCTGCCAAAATAATACGAGTAAATACGGGAAAAGCGTTCACCGCAAGGCAACTACCACCTCCCTCCTTCCCCCTCTTCTCTTAGTGATCTACGACATGTATGCGTAAACTTTGCCAAAGTGTGAATATACTTACAATGAGATCGGCGGCACTGTTGGACGGAGTACACGCCAGAATACGACTCGAACTGATGCGATGAAATATCTACATAACAAAACAAACAATAGACAATTCCCATTATAGACTAATTTTAAAACTAGGCAAGGAGATGCAAATAAATCACCACAGCTAGAAAGAACATACTAAAATTAGTAAAATTACAAAGTTTGGTGGCGAAATGTTGTAAAATGCGGAAAATATAGCCTTGTAAAGTTCGCAAATTTGGCATGTAGTAAAACACTGACTACCGGAACACTGGAACACCACCGTAACACCGGAACACCACCATTTTGTTTAGGGTTAGGGTTAGGATTAGAGTTTGGGGTTAGGATTGGGGTTAGGGTTAGGTGGTGTTCCGGTTGTGCTCCGGTGGTGTTCCGGTATACTTTTGTATTGCGTGTACTTGGTATACTTTTGCATTTGGTATACTTTTGTATTGCGTGCGGAAATTCCTACCACATTCCTACCACATTTGGGCCGAAAATGGTAGCAATTTCCGCACGCAATACAAAAGTATACAAAATTTGAAAATTTTGCAAGGCTATATTTTCCGCATTTTACAACATTTCGCAACCAAACGTTTCTAGCTGTGGTGATTTATTTGCATCTCCTTGCCTAGTTTTAAAATAATATAATTGGAATATAATGAGAATTGTCTATTCTCTTTTACATGTTTTTACGTACACCTCTCGCTTACGAATTCTCCCAAGACTCTAATTCTAATCCCAAAGCTCTTCCTAACCCTTAAGGCATTATTCTAATCCTAATCTACACTTTAACCCTTTAAGGCGCACTGTGTCCTAATACAGCATACCGGTACTTTATTATTTTATTCAAGGGGGAAGTGCTTGCACTTTATGGGCTAATCAGATTATCTGCTCATGTGTCTTGTTAACCCTTTTTAATTTGCTAACTTGCAATGCACCCGAATGCACCCTACTTTGTTATTTTACTCTGTCTAACGCCAGACGGTTTATTCGTCAAGGGGATTAGTGCTGGCATGTACTGAATAGATTAATCCTACCATAATCCCAAAATCATCATAATCCTTAAATAACCCTAATCCTCTAAACATAATCCACATCCCAATCCTAGCCGTGATTCTAATCCTAAACCACAATCCTAACCTCCTCTAAGCATAATCCACATCCCAATCCTAGCCGTGATTCTAATCTTAAACCACAATCCTAACCTAACTCCACCGACCTGTAGTATTGCTTCAACCAGAGTGACAGTTTTACCAGTGCCTGGCGGGCCAAAAAGAACGTACGGCATTGGTCGAGACTGGCCAATCAAAATCCTCGATACAGCAGCACGCTGACGTTCATTTAGCTTTGCATTGAACAGCCCTTTGTCTTTCTTCGACTCTTGTGGTAGTTTTGGCACGACTTCACGTGGAAACAGAACTGATAATAGGAAAAGAAACCGAATTGTCAGAGGTCTGCATGTATATAGTTACTGTACAGCTAAGAGGCTCTTTGTATGTTTGTTTGTTTCGCAATAGTTCGTCTGTTTCCTCCTCTAAGCATCAACTCTATACTCACTACTCAGATTCTTCTTTTGATGTATAAAACAAAATGCGCACTTGGAAAACGTATTGCTCTAAATGCCGTTCTTTCAACTTAAGCTATGGCTCTTAAGCTGTCCTATATTATATACACAGTATAATGTAAATAGTGTTGTAGCCCTTGTCTTTAATTTATGTCTACTAGATAACTTTTTGCCAGGTTGGTTTTCACATGGGACTCATGTGCTGTTGACTATATCTTCAACCATATTTAAATTAAGTGTTGCCCAGTTTTTTTCCAAAAGTTTATTTGTAATCATTTTATAGTACTCATGGTTGTGAAGTTAATAAATAATTAATAAATAAGAAGTCGGGCTGGCCCGGCTATCCAGTTATCAGCCATACGGCAAAGAGCACTTGCCGGTCTATCTCTAGAAATTTTCTTACCCTGATCTCCTAAATATTTTGCCGATTCAACTGCTTTATGAGACCTTCTCAGCGTAGTTCTGTAGATAAGGTAGAAGAGAAATATATTGACTTTTCAAAAAAATGAGTTGTTTCGTATTTCTGCATGGTCCAAACTCAAACGTCAAGAGAGCCCAGTTACATTTAGCGTATGAGTCACAATTTAGGAACAGTTACTATTTTTAGACTTTTAGGGTTATACGATTAGGGTTTGGATTTGGATTAGGGAAAGTGTTAGGATTAGGGATAGGATTAGGGTTAAGTTTAAAATACAAAAGAATACAAAATTACAAAAGTCTAAAAAGAGTAACTCTTCCTAAAACGTGACAGGTACAAGGATCCTATACCTGTTGAAAAAGAACATGACATTGTACGAGTCCATATCATACGTGGAGTGAAAATCTTCGTGAAACTTTAGCAAGACCTCGCTACTCAGTACCTTAAAATATTAACTTAGGTACTCAGCTTATCTTAATTAAACATCTTTTATTTCACAATTTAATTCCAGTTTATTGAGGAAGACGTGCATATACCTCATGAATAAAGCCTTCATATTTTGAAGAGTTGGTTGAAGCTCCTAAATGAAACAGCAAATCGTATTAAATCGGATATATTCTTCGTAATAATAAACAAGTAATATATAATATATAATAAACAAGAAAGCGTTCATTACCGGCATATTTTATTACGGAAAAGTATGCTGAAAAATGAGGCGCTATAGCCAAGTTTTTTCCACAGAAAACTCACCGCTAACACACAGTATCACTCGATCGCCAATCAGAAGCGAAGGTCTTCCTTCAGCCAAACCAGGGACAGCGAGACCCAAAAATTCTCCTGCAGGTTTTAACGACACCTAAAAACATCACAACGAATAATCACGGATTGATTTGAAGACAAAAATTATAATTGAACCATGGCACTGTGACCGGTTGTATAGCCCCACGGACAGAAAATTTTCTGAAAATATCATTGTTAAAAGTTGAAATTTTTTTCCAACGGAAAATTTGTGTGG